GGGGGAGGACATGAAACGGTCTACGCTAGCCACAAGCCATCACCCACAGGTTGACAATACGATGACCATACACCCCTATGGTTCCACATGAACCGACCCGCCAAATCAAACCTCTCTTTGAGGTCATGTACAAGCTAAGTCAACCTGACCACAATTGACATGGCTGGGTCCTGCTACTGCGGAAATCACCAATATCTACGTCAAATCACCACAAAGATCTACTTCCGAGGAAAAGAAAACAGAACATCACAAATGGGAGAGGACCCCACAAGGAGGGGGGGAGGATTCAAAGATTTCACTGCCAATCAGAGTTGCTCAGGCGGACGGTCGGCGCCCCTTGATTGGTCAGTTGCAGACCAGCCTACTGACCAGCCTACTGGTCGGCTGGTCAGCACCTACCAGTCAGCAAGTCGGCAACCCGCAAAAAATACAAAGAAGGGGAAGTCTGTGACCCCCAATAAACCCACCAACACCCCCATGCACAACCCCTGTCTCTTATACACATCTAGATGTGTATAACCAATACCACCTATACCACCCCTTGTTACCCCCCCACACCCCCCCAATAACCTCCCGTACCTCCCCGATCCCCAGCAGTTTCTCAGCGGATTTGGGCTGTACTGAGCGAGTGCAGAACAGCCGATTTTTAAAAAATCAGTGGATGGCTGTTTGCTCACTGGTCGGCATGGTTGCATCCCTGCCGACCGCCGACTGTATTGCAGCCGACCAGTAGGGCCGACTGGTCGGCGGTCTGCCGACCACTCAGAAAACAACCATCCACTAATTTTTTTTCAGATCTGAGTTGGAAGCTGTACTGCACTTGCTGAGTACAGCCCAAATTCGCTGAGAAATTTATGGGGATGGAGTGGTTGGGGGAGGGGTGTATAGGGGGCTATAGAAGGGGTGTATAGGGGGCTATAGAGGTGGTATAGGGAGTACTTCGGGGGGGGGGGGGGGGGGGGGGGGGGGGGGGGGGGGGGGGGGGGGGGGGGGGGGGGGGGGGGGGGGGGGGGGGGGGGGGGGAGGGTAAGGG